GCCTATATGGCACACACATGCCCGAATGAATGGATCACTGGGTTTGAGATCTAATCTCCTTGGGCTCCCAAATTTCGTAGTCGTCTCTCTCTGTTCCTTGCCGAAACACGGCGCCTCTCTCCACCAGGGTCACCAAGCCCCGGCCAACAATCTCCCCTCCCTACTTCCTCCGTAGCAAGTCACGGCGCCGTAACAGCATCATCTATTACTCTATTCCACTCCAACAGAGTTTTATACTCCCACTCACAAATAAGAATTAACTTTGATTTTACTATTCTAACTTTGAATATTTTTTCACAAGTGTATGTACAAATACTACAAGCTATGTTTCTATTATACTTCTGACTAGGGATGAAAACGGTCGAAAACGGTCGAAAAACCTCTCAACCGTTTTCTACTTCTACATTTGAATACGAAAACGAAAACGAAAGCGGTAAAGCCGGACACGAAAACAAACACGAACTTACGGAATATCAAAAATTTCGAAAACGAACTAATTCGAGCGGAATTATGTCAAACACGGTCGGTATACGAAAATACGAATTCGATCGGATTAAATGTAGAAAACGATGCGGTTCGGTACGGGATATTTCCGTACCGTTTTCATCCTTACTTCTGACGGTAATCCATTTTTTTCCATTTTCTTATTTACCTAAACATTTTAAGATTTGTTGTCAGACACCTCAAATAGCAAATGTCAAAATTGAGAGTTACCCGTAAACTTAAGGCATGTAAAATCCAGCTAATCTTTTTTCCTAAGTATTGAGATTGCATAGATGAAGGGCGGGCCTGGTGCAAGCGGTAGAGTCTTACCGCCTGTGACCGGAAGGTCCCGGGTTCGAGTCGCGGTCTCCTCGCATTGCACAGGCGAGGGTAAGGCTTGCCACTGACACCCTTCCCCAGACCCCGCATAGAGCGGGAGCTCTCTACACTGGGTACGCCCCTTTTTTTTTAGATTGCACAGATCCTACAATACCAGAGGGTAGAGAGCAGAAGCTAAGCAAAAAAATCCTGCACTGAAATCATTATCCTCTAAAAATTTCTTGTAATTTCATGTTCAAGATGTTTTTATTTCTTTATATATGACATGCGCATGAAGTTTTTTTTTGTTGCATAGATAGTTACTGTGATTTTCATGATTATTATATATGTGTGTACATATTGCTCATAAATTCAAAAGGCATCTTCTGTTATATTACGTAGCAAATAATCATACGACTAGTTATGCATTCTTCGTTTTGACTTTAAGCATTACATATATTTGTTTTTTTTCTCGAACACGCAGGAGAGCTGCGTATCATTGTATTAAATGAAGGAGAAAAGAGCCATACATAGACCCGAACACACACACACACTAGCTATCGAGCTAAGACTGAATCATCTTTTACAGATTGGTTACATATATTTGTTATTTACTACCATAGGTTGAAAACGATATATTACTTCCTGATGTTCTTTTGAAGGTCTGGTAGGCATCTATTCCTATAGTTAAGTTTAAGATCAGTTGCCACGCAAAGTTAGTAATTTTAGATTCGCCTATAGCTTGGTTATTGGAGCCAAAGGTCCCTAATTGTGACTAGTATAGTAATGTATCTGCAGTACCGGTACGTCAAACAGTAAAAGATTGTTTAATCTGAAGGGTGTACCCAGTGCAGAGAGCTCCCGCTCTGTGCGGGGTCTGGGGAAGGGTGTTAGTGGCAAGCCTTACCCTCGCCTGTGCAATGCGAGGAGACCGCGACTCGAACCCAGGACCTTCCGGTCATAGGCGGTAAGACTCTACCGCTTGCACTAGGCCCGCCCTTCATTGTTTAATCTGAAGGATCATGAAATACTGTATAGATTTGCAGGGAATAGAAGAGCAATAGAGACGTTGGGATTTGGAAAGATGGAATAGGAGGTTTAATTCCCTTGTTCCCCTTGACTCCCTCATGCAAGCCTATATTACAGGTTAACTAAGTCACTGCAAATTTTCAGATGCACCCTTGCTATATCCTATAATACATATCACCAAGCCACCAAGGAACTAGGCCAAAGGGGGCAACACCAGCTCCATGCTGATGAAATGATAAACTTGCCATGTTTCGCAAGAGCAAATTTGCAAAATCACACAATAATGGCAATGCTGTAGATAGAGACGCCTGATTGCTTGTTCTGAGGCCAGTTTTGGGACAGGTCCCCTTTCAAGGACAGCAGCCCCTTTTTTTTCATTTCGTCCTTCCGGATCCAGCCAAGAGCCCAAGACACACATACATGAATATAGCCATATACATGCATGGTCGCATGGACACCCCTTGCTGTGAGAGTGAGCCTATCAGTATATATAGTCAGTGCTTCCATCAATCAATCCAAAACTAGTATACAGCTCAAACCCATCTACCACAGGCTATATAGGATTTGTCTTTGGTGAGCATCTTGGACTTGATATCCCTACCTCGCTCCATAAGGCAGCCATCTTTGGTGAGCATCTGTTTGATTTTTTTTTGCTCCCAATTGATCTACTTCTGTCATATAAGACGAGAACCAAATTTTTTTTTTTTTTTCGAGACCAATATTGATGAGACACAACCCTCTCGCATGTCAACTTTTTTTTTCTTTCAACGACGAAAAAATTTCTTACCTTCTCTCTCTGCCTTTCATTCGCTTCCAAGTTCAACCAATGGAATAATGTCACTCAAATCATGTAAATATATGTGCGTTGTACTGTTCTTTGTTTCTATTTAGTGAGTTGTAAAGTGACTCAAACACTGATATGATCTGCAGGAAAATGGATGGGTGGTGTGTAGGGTTTTCAAGATTCAAGAAGAGCTATCATCAGAGAGGCCTCAATCCGGCTGAGATTGCGGCACTGGATGATGATGAGCTCCAGTGTTTCCCATTCCAGTCCATGGCTCCCGGCCAACAGACCACAAGAACAACCCACACCTCATGCAAAATAACTTCCCTTCCTTCAACCCTACCATGCAGCTCCCACAGCTGATGAGCAGCAACCAGCCTGTGCCAACCCTCCTACCCACCCAGCCAGCCTGTAACAACCAGCTGATGACCATGAGCACACTCGAAGTTGAGTGCTCGAAGAACCTGATGAAGCTGAAATCGAACAGCAGTGATGGGATGCTCCATGGTGGTGGTGCTGGAGGTGGTGTTGACCGCTTTGCTGGCACGACTGATTGGTCGATCCTAGACAAGCTCCTCGACTCCCACCAGAACCTCGACCAGCTCTTCCACGGCGAGATCACCGCAGCATCTGTCTCCTCAATGGTGACATACCAACAGCAGCTCATGGAACTCAATGGATAGTCATCCTTGCAGAGGCTTCCACTGCAGTACCTCAGTGGCGAGCCGGCTGACCTCCTCAGGTTCCCCAAGTAGTTGGATCGACCTCAAGTTTAGCTGCCTTGTTGAGCAGTGAACAGATAAGGTTTTTGGTTGGCTAGTTAGACTGCTTAATTCGGTATACTTCGTATGGAGTTTACTCTTCTAAATGTATATATGATGCAACTGTTTAGCCACGCAGGCATGGAATGCCATATAAACTGTGGTTGATTTGTCAAGAGGATATTTTGATGTTTCCATTTTGGCTTAGGGTTGCTCGTTAGGTGCTTTTGGAGAATAAAGGTGAAGAGATGGCCCGGTGAATCAAGAACTTCTATTTGCTTTTTTTTAATATACTATTTTTGTTTGAAACTTCCCCACTAATTGGTATTTTGGTTGTTGAACTAATAATAGGATAGGAGCATATATATCTGTTCATGGTCACTAATTAAAGAGCTACACATCCCATTTTTTTTCTTATTTTCTCATGTGTGATTTGATGTCTATAATATATATCCTCCATCATTTGGATCTACCATTAAACAGTTTAGAATAGCCTTACAAATTGAAATAAAACAACATAGGAACTTCTGGTGCTACTTTGCCATATTAGTTCTAACTTACATCAGTTCTTCTTCAATAGTCTAGAATGAGATTCCTTATTGGATATTGGTAACTATTAGAGTACAAACTACATTCTAATATCAAATGCAAAAAAACAAGCAGATGAAAAGATGGAGCGTTAGGATATTAGCTATGCATCTGCTAAAAAAAAGGGGTGTTCCCAGTGCAGAGAGCTCCCGCTATGTGCGGGGTCTAGGGAAGGGTGTCAGTGGCAAGCCTTACCATCGCCTGTGCAATGCGAGGAGACCGCGATTCGAACAAGGGACCTTCCGGTCACAGGCGGTAAGACTCTAACGCTTGCACCAGGCCCGCCCTTCATAGGACTAAGCTATGCATCTGCTAGATAAACTTTTTTTCTCAAACACACAAGAAAATTGTGAATGCAAGATAATCTGAGGTTAGTTTTTATTACCAATTTCGCTACAGTTTTATTTTTGCCACATCATTCTGTTTTGCAAGCTACACAGACAACCAGGTAAAATCATCCATTAACAATATAATGAATTTTGATATGGAACTAGTTGTAGAATGCGTAGTCAAGCTTAGTCTGTCAATACTAAGATATTGATTTATAAGGTATGGATCTCCCGCCCCTTACTCAAAGCTCAAGATATACATAACACATGCGCCTGGCTTCCATTAAGGAAAGACATCAACCAATCCGTTTACTGAACATTTGCAGATTCATTACATAAGGTGGTCCTTTTATGACATAAGAAACTTTGTGCCTAGACCAATAAAGCCACTACATTATTTTCTTCCTTGCTTAAGTAGGAGTATCAACCAAATCTATATATCAATCCAAAGGGGAAGAAAACTACATTAATTACAAGAAGGCCTTACTGCGACCAAGATTAAGGTAAGAAACAAGCAGAAGTGGTGGCAGCAAAGAAGGCAGATGAGATGAGCAAATACGGCAACTAAGGAGAGCAGCAACTAACTTGCAATCAATATTTGTTTCTCGCACAGTAAATTCTAACTAGTCTGATCCAGTGGATTGAAAAGATTGGAGTATTCAGTATTGGATTGAAATGAGCTCTGGAACAAATAAACAAACAGTGTACCTGAGCATCATACATTACAATGGCTGCAAATACCACTGACATTCCGAATATGGAGTCTGCAAACCCCCTGCGCACTAAATCAATAGTCAAGAAAAACAAAAGCATCGAGCTTAGGGTGAAAACACGCAGAAACAACTAAGTTCTGCAGCACAAATGTTCAAGAACTAACCTTTCTAGCCCAAGCGAAGTAGCAATTGCAACAACACTCTACAAGATAGGAAAGTTTTGTTAGAACTCGGAACTGTTAGAAGGGTCAGTGCCAAAGGGAGTCGAAAGCTTTACATGAAAAGGTAAGGCTAAAACAGAATTACTTTACACTACAATAAAAAAAACAGCAGTTTCAGATAGGACCTTGCAGCACTTCTTGTTTGACAAACCACCACATTTGTTTCAATTCAATTTTATAGCCATTTGGGGTACGTTGTATTTCAGAACTCCTCAATGGTCAAATTCATTCTAGATACATAGCCATCCTCAATCATTCATTGTGCAAACTAATGATAACAGTTCACCACACAAGACAAACATTTTCCCTGTGACTAGGTTATCCACATCACAACTTAGCACAACAGTCCAAACATGTGGAAGAGGTATCCCCAAAGTTGGCGAGTAACGCAGAAACTGAAAAAGAGATGGTTTTGGTAAGGGACTGGGGTGGGTTATCAGATGTTTTCACCGCGGAGTGGGTAGAGGGCATCCCTCCGGAGCGGAAGACGGTCCTCAGGTTAAGACCGGCGCCGGCGCCCCCATTCTTGCCCGACGTGAAAGGCTTGGACAGCTGCCCGATCGCGCTCGCCACCGTCGCCGCAATCAAAACCTTCAGAGAAAACCAGACAAACATTCAGAAAAGAAATAGAAAAGGAAAAGGAAAAGGAAAAGGAAAAGAAGTACCCTATTGGCCGGGTACCAACCAGCAGGAGAGCAACTAACCTTGTTGCAAGCGACCTCGGCGATCTCCCCGGGGCCGAGGTGGAGGGAGGCCGCCGGCGCGACGGCCCTGCGGCGCGGTCTGCATCCCGTAATAGGAGAAGCGCTCGTTCTCGTGGTGGAGGCGGACGGCGAGGACGTCGAGGGAGGAGGGCGGCGAGTCACCCAGGACGAGGACGGGATGTGAGGGGAAGAGAAGGCTTGGGCCATGGCCGTCGGGACGGCGTGGCGGGCTAGCCTGTCTGACCCAGTTGCCTGCCTGCTCTGGCTCTTGTTTGCTGCTGTTTGTCACGGTCTACACAGACTAGGTGCAGAAGCCGAAGGGACTTGGAATCGGAGACTCCAGCAAGCTGGCACCAACTAACGATGCATATCGGTAAACTATTACTGTGTTTGTTAAAAAATGTAACTAGTTTGAGGACCGTTTTGGATTGCAGCTATTTTCATCTTTTTTACGTTTCTCCGTAAAAACAAACTGATTTCTAAAAAATTCAAGTACGATTATTATAAGATTCATGCGTTCTAAAAACTTCCTTCATTTTGTTCTTTTAACTCTCATTAAGTTTAGAAAATTATGGACCTTATGTACATTATTGTTGTATACCAACGGCTTCTAATTTATTTATAACTCTAAAAATTCAACAAGCCCTTCCACATCATCAATAATGGTAATGCTCCTATCCCCGCCACGCGCCGCGCGTCGTGGGCCTCTGCACCTCGCACCTTGCACTTTATAAAAAAACCTCGCGCCTCGCACGGTCGCACCGAACCCGCCTCGGGACGCGTGCACCGCGCGCCTCGTGCCGTGCACCTCTTCCGCGCCTCGCGCCCCGCTCGTGCATACGCCACATGTAGGATCTCTGGTACGCCTAGAGGGGGTGACTAGGTCTGTTAAAATTCAACTTAAACCGAAATCAAAATCTCCCGCGGCACTGCCGGTATGTGAGCACGTCACTCCTGCACCTACAGAAGAGATTAGTTCACAGTTTAAAATCTAGCCAACGAAATTTAGATAGGGTAAATTTCTTAGCTTCCTACATCGTGGTAAATCACAGATCGACTGCTGAAAGTGATAAGAACACCACACACAAGTAGATAGGCCTCAATCCTAGAAATCACCTCAATAACAACAAGAACACAAGTGTAGCAACACAAGCACAAGATGACACAAAATTTATCCCGTGGTTCAGCTCGCCACCAAAGCTTGCCTAAGTCCATGTTGTTGAGGTATACCACTAAGACTTAGGGATTTACAATCCTACCTCGTTCTCAAATCAAGAAAGTCAACTCTTGAGATGAGGGGTGATTTTACTTGCTGTAAGAGGTGGTTACAAAACTCCCAGGGCTGCCACACAAGTTGGCAAGCTTCGTGGGCGACGCTCTAGCCGGTTAGGAGCCAAGCTCCAAGAGTAACAAATACAACCGTCGGCTAAAACGTGAACCAAGTGCTCTTTAGAGTATAGAAATCAATGGAGTTGCTCTCTAATCAAGTTATGGACCATTTTCCCTCGAGGATTGATGGGAAAATCAATCGATTTGCTTGAGGGCTTTAGGTCAATAATGGAGTGAGAGAGAGAGAGAGCTCCTGCTCTGTTTTGGGCGTGCTGAAGTGAGGAAAAAGTGAGCAGGTTGGTTCATTCAGTTACCGTTGGGGAGGAAGGGAAAAGGTATATATACCCCTAGCCTCCAACGGTCACTTTAAATCACAGATAGCCATTGATGAGAAAAGGAAAAGGTATATATATATCCCCGGCCCTCAATGGACACTGCACCTAAGAGGTCGTGCGAGACGAGGCCGCGACTAAAGGGTCAGGCGATCCGGAGCCACAACCTTGGGGTCGGGCGAGCCGGAGCCCGCAACCAAAGGGTCGGGCGAGATGGAGCCCGTGACCTTGGGGTCGAGCGAGACGGAGCCCGCGACCAAAGGGTCAGGTGAGCCGGAGCCCGCGACCTTGGGGTCGGATGACACGGAGTCACGACCAAAGGGTCGGGTGAACCGGAGCCTGCGCCCTTAGGGTCGGGTGAGACGGGGTCATGACCAAAGGGTTAGGCGAACCGGAGCCCGCACCCAAGGGGTCGGGCAAGTCGGAGCTCGCACCACGCAAGACAGCAAGGGTAAAAGTGTAGAATGTCTTGGCTGTGAATCTGAGGATGCTTGTGGTTGTTTGAGCACTTGGTAGTATATATTAGCTTAAGCATTGTGTCCCTCTTTATAGTACGGCTTTTTCTATACTCAAATTCAAGATATAAAAGAATCTTAAACCTCTTTTGAGTTTGAAGCCATTTATATTTGTAATTGGGGGCTCCTCCGTTTCATGTAGCATCCTCGAATATAAATTCCCTACTTGTCATCTCAATAAATCTCATTAGTTCTCTAATTGCGTGGTCATTATCACCAAAACCCACAATTAGGTCTTGATTGCACTTTCAATCTCCTCCTTTTTGGTGATTGATGACAACCCAATTAGAGGTTACAAAAGATATGAAATAAATACTGAGATTTTCGAGCCATGGGTGTAGAGCCTCCCCCTAAGTATGTGAATAGATAATTAAATTCTCAAATTGGCATAAGAAGCCAGGATTCACATTTTAGTGAAAGTGATGGGGCTCCCCCTACATCCATGCTCCTGTGGGGTGCTGCATACTGTGTTAGGTATGTAAAATATGATGCAAATGATAGTTTATACACACCATGGTTTGCTGTTGTGCGGCAGTGCCAGAGTCAAGCACCACACAACTAGCTCAGATAAAGAAAATATACAACCTAGCACAATAAGATGACTTCTAATCCACACAACGATACATGTCCATATCCGATATACAAAGAGTCAAATAGTAGCATTATTTCACAATTTAGAGTTTTGAGCGACTCTTAAACTTTCCACCTAGCGAAGACTAACACTCATCGAATAGAACATAAAGCGTAGCTGCTGACCAACCATAGCGTCAAAAAGTTGTTGACCCCTCTAATTTTCTTCCCCTTTGGCATAAAGCACCAAAAAGAGAAGAAAAGAACAAAGATCAACACCTACTCGTCATCTCCCTGGTTGTCCGTCCAATCAATATCATCACCTCCTGCAGCAGTCTCGGCACCACTATCACCATCATCGTCGTCGGAGTCAATACGTGCACGGCCCTGACGGTGAGTAGTGACAGTGTAGCGAGTGGAACAAGTGGAACATCTCGGCTCCTGTCTCTGACGGTATCCCTCTAGGGTCTCATTCCAATCTGCTGCTTGTCCCTGCTGCTCCTCCTTATCATCATCATCTGAATCTATGTCGGAGATACTCGGAAGGTCATACTATGGAGGAGGTGGAATAGGAGGAAGTGGTGGAAGGTCATGTCCACGCTGCTGATGCCGCTCAAGCTGTCTCATACGCTCTATCAGCTGCATAGGTTCACTTGCCAAAGATTGCCTTCAACCACTTGCCAAACTTCTTCATCTTGCCTCCTCTGTGACCTAGAGTGGGAATACTCAGGGATATTTATATGAGCATAAGAGCTCCCTGCTCTCTTAGTAGCTGCAGCTGGCTGGGTCTTCTCAATTTTGTAGACGATATGCATCCCATCCTTTAGAAAATAAAATCTAGTGACCCTCTCAATCATGAGCATGAGGTAAAGGGCATAGGGCAGCCCTCTCCTCCCATCTTCCACTATAAATCTCAACTCAGTCCACATGAATCTAGGGACATTGAACCTATCCCCACCTAGAGCAAATCTAGCCAACATATTTCTCACATAGCCATTAATATCTGAGGTTGCTCCATCCTTTGGGTTGATGGTGTTCCTGATGAGGTTGTTAAGGATGTAATAGAAGCCATGTAGACCACTCCTCTTGCCATCTGCAATCCTTCTATCTCTCCACATGTAACTAATGTCATGGATCTCGGCTCGAGGCTCATCATGAATGTAAGTGTAACCTCTATGCTCCTCCCCAAAGCCAAGAATCTAGCTGAAAGTGACAAAGTCGACTTGGTAGTGCCGACCATCATTCATCCAGTGAATCTCATCAGAGGTCTGGTCATAGAAGTATGTGGCATGAAACTGTGCAAGGACCTCCTCATTATAGTTATACTGGAAACCCATGATGTCTGAAAGCTGGAACCTATCACAAATTTTGATTACCTTGTCAAACTCGGGCTCCTCCTTCTCCTGCATCTCATCCCAATCAATGTATTGCATCCTGATGATCCTAGTTCTTGGATGCAAGAATGGTAGTGGCATAAAAGTTGGAATAAACTCATTCCAAAATATGTAATCAATGCCTAAATCCTTGCGCACTGCATAGGGATTGATCTCCCTTGCCTCTTCCACTAGCTTCCAACTCTTGGAATAGTTGACAACTGCATGTTGGTGGGAGTCATCTGGAGGTCTCATGATGATCTCACCCTCAAAATCTCTCATGTATCTGCCATCAAACTCAGAGAGATGTTGTGGGGTGTCAGAAATGGCATCAGTGGTATGACCTGTCATCTCTAGCCTCTCCTCATCTTCAATGTATTGCTCGCACCTCCCCCTATCACCAAGTCCCCTTGGAGCTGCACTACTGCCTACTGTTGTTGACCTTCCTCGACCACGGCGAGGTGGATCCTTGTCTCTTTGCTCATTCATCTTCCTTTTCCCCCTTCGGTCATTGTCTTCGTGCTCCATCTTCTCAAACGAGGAATGGAAAGGAGAGGGAAGAAACTGCTCGGGCCAGGGGCAGTAGCAGTTGTCAGTGACATTGAGGGAGGGCTAGCAGCTGCCGTAGCACTACTAGAGATCGGTAATGTGTGACCAACCGACGGCGACGGCGTGGGAGCGATAGGAGAGAGAGGCATGGGCGTCGGCATCGGTGTCGGGGGGAAGAGAGAGGAAAAGAAGTTACTGTGGGCCTGAGGATAAGAGGAAGAATAAATGGGTCTTATAGTAAAACCATTTGGGCCGAATCTCAATTGAGATTCAAAGTGTGGCACTGCCGCATGCCTAGCGCGGCACTGCCGCACTCCCTAAAATAGTGGGAGTTAGTTATAATCTATATGACTCTCTCTGTATAAGATATGGATAGATATCACTTATATACCATGACCAGAAACAAATAATTAATACAGACAATGATCATGATACATAAGTTGCCTTTTATAAATCATTTTCATGCACAATATGAAAATTTTCAACTCTTTTGCCTAGATACTAGTTTATCAAACAAAGGCATGCTAAAATTCAAACCA